TATAAATTTATTTTTTTATTTGGTTAAATAATATATGATCCAAGAAGAAATAAAATTAAATGACCAAAAATATATGTATATGAGCTTATAATTATGAAAATAATCTAATTGTTGATCATTTAAATTTATTTTTTTATTTGATTAAATAATATATGATCCAAGAAAAAAATAAAATTAAACGAACAAAAAATATATGTATATGAGCTTATAATTATGAAAATAATCTAATTGTTGATCAATTATATCCTTTGTTTTGAGATATGTAAAAGAATTATATTAAAATTTTATTTTTGACAATATCGTTATAATTATAATGCATATTGAATTAATTTAATTTCAAATAATATATAATGTAAATTATAAATTTATTTATTTTTTTTTTAATTTTAACTTATATAAATTACTTTCATAATTATGGTCACGTAAACACATACACATATATATATATAAAAATAATTACCTCTGTAAATGGAGAAACAATTACGAAGAACGTTTGATTGTTTTAATTATTTCTACAGATTACAAATAATTCCATTATTGACAGAGAACAATTTTAAAATCATCGGCGAAGTCGAGATTCAACTTTACTGTAAACAATCAACGAAACACATACGTCTCCATTCTCACAAATTAAATATACAAAACGTCAGCATCATCAGTTACGTTAGTTCCAAAAACAACAAAACTTACATCGTTGAAAATTACGTATCCATTAGGGACGATGATTTTCTCGATATTTTTCTATTACAATTTTTGACGAAGGATAATATATATCTTATGAAAATAAAATACAATGGTAATTTGAACGAAAAACCTGTCGGTTTGTTTCGTAGCAAATACAAAGATGAAATCACCAATGTTACCAGGTTAGTTTGTTATTTCATTTAATACGTCGAATTATAAAATAGTAAAACGCGTTGAAATAAAAAATTGTTCAAGGAAAAAAAAAAGGAAAAAATAAAAAGTAAACAAAAAGTAAGAAAAAAAAAATAATAATTAATCGAAAGAAAAACAATTTGTTGTTGGTTTGTTTTTTTTTTTCTTTTATTTCGTTCATTTTATTCCGTTATTTCAGATGGATAGCAGTATCGAATTTTTCACCTGATTTTGCTCGAAGAGCTTTCCCATGCTTTGATGAGCCTTCGATGAAGGCTCCTTTTCGAATCTCGATTGGTCGAAAGGTCGACATGCGGACTCACTCTAATTCAATTCGAATTGCTACAGAGAAAATGTAAGTTTCTACTTAAATCGTTAATCCTACTTTCTTGTAACTTTCTATCAATTTCAAATATGAACGAAATAACACAAAAAAGCACACACACACACACACACATTTTCAAACAAAAAAGAAATGGGAAGATTGTTTTTTAAGAGTGAAATCAAAAAAAGAACAAAAAAAATAATATCAAGGTTTCAAGTTTTACAGAAATAATTATTTATCTTATAAAATTTAACAAAATAATTATTTCTTGTTTAATAATATTCAAAAAGAATTTTTATATGTGAAATAAGAAATGAATAATATAAAATAATAGAATTAAGAATTATTTGAAATATCATAATAAATATTAAAATATGTCAAGTATTAAAAAAAGGTAAGATAGTTTAAATAAATAATATCTATGTCCACGTAAAAAAATTATTATAAATATCGAGGATTTATTTGAAACAAAAAAACAATATACCGATCGAACAACAAATAGAAATGTTGTTAAAAGAAAGAAAAAAGAAAATATATATTATACTAATTGATATTAAACGTGACATAATATTTAACCACCTCCCTCCCTCCCTCCCCCCCCCCCCTTATGATTTCTTAGTAACGATATACCAAATCACGTATGGGATCATTACAAGAAAACACCACCAATGTCAACGTATCTGACCGCTTTCATGGTGACTGACTTTCAAAGTTATCAAATTAATGTTACCGAACGGCCATTTCATAATGTGTTCGCAAGAAAATACGTGCAAAATGATACCATGTATATCGGAAATTTAATACCACAGATAGTCAGGCTCATGCAAAATTTAACGGGATTCCATTACGACTTGGACAAGCTCGACATGATAGCGGTACCAAGTTTGGCGTATTCGGCGATGGAAAATTGGGGTCTCATTACGTTTCGGTATATTAAACTGTGCATATCTACGTTAATATTTATATACACTTTCGGAATAATGTATTGGATGATACAAAATTTATTAAATTCGAGAACAAAAAATTCACTTTTTTTTTTTTTTGTCGATTTAGAATTAAAAAACAAAAAAGCCACTGCTAATTCGTTGAAATAAATTTCTTAATATTTGTATTATAAAATTTTGGATAAAATATTTATATATTTATAATTTATTTTTATTATTGTTGTAATAATTTTTATACGATTATTTTTAGAAAATTAATATTATATACACATTTGACAATAATTTATAGTTATTATAATCGAATTATTTTCTATATGTATAGATGAAAATAATAATTTCTTAATATTTGTATTATCAAATTTACGATATTTATCTTTGATCAATTTTATTCAAGATCATTATTGTTAAAATTTTTATACGATTATTTTTGTTTAGATAATTAATATTATATATACATTTGACAATGAAATTTATAGTTATTATAATCGAATTATTTTCTATGTATAGATGAAAATAATTTAGAATATATAAATTGAAAAAGAAAATAATTGAATATATATATATATATTTTCAATTTACAGGGAGAGTAGTATGCTTCTGCGTAATAATAAAAATCAACATATCGATAAGAAGAAGATATTTGCTATGATCGCATCTCACGAGGTGGCCCATCAATGGTTCGGTAATTTGGTAACACCGAAATGGTGGTCTGAAGTATGGTTAAAAGAAGGTTTTTCATCTTTCTTTGGTATCAAGGCATTAAGTATGGTGAGAGAGAGAGAAAGACAGAGAGAAACTGATCATTTTCTTGATTATTATTATTTTATTGAATTTTTTTGTTCTTCTTCTTCTTCTTCTTCTTAAATTCCATTACGGTTACCAATTTCAGATCGAATCGTCTTTGAGTGTACAAGATATTATGGCTATGGAATATCGTGAAATGTTTAAAAAAGAAGAAAAAGATAATGCACATCCGTTGTATCTCAATTTAAATATTACGGGGAAAAAACTTAGTGATATATTCGATGCTACCCCATACGTTAAAGGCAATTGCCTGGTCAATATGATATTTCATTTTCTCGGCGAAACAATATTTTATTCTTCGATTAAAAAATATATTCATACGTATTATTATCGTGTCGCCGATCAAAACGATCTATGGGATATATTTCAAGAAGAAATCGAATTGTCCAAATTATTTCATAATTTTTCTATTCAAAATATTATGAAAGGTTGGACAAATCATGCTGGATTTCCTGTTGTTCATGTTAACAGAAATAACGATACCGGTCTTGTCGAACTTATGCAGGTTTTTAAAACAAACAAAAATTACACACACCATAGATTTTATTTTTTTTTAATCAAGTATCTATATATATATATATATATACATTTATTATAACTATCAAAGTATAACAATAAAGAATCATTCGATAAATGTTTTAGGAGAGATTTTATAGGCAAGATTTAAACGTTCATGGTACGAGCGAGGAATTATGGTGTATACCTTTAACGTGGACAATCGAAAGTGATCAGCGATTCGATGGGACGTTGCCTAAGGCATGGATGCATGAAAGACGCATGGTGATTAATGATACTGGCTTGAGTGAAGCAATTTTCAATAATCAATGGATTCTCTTTAATATCAACCAAACAGGTCACAATGTAAAATAATATAATCATCTCGTATAAGGATCAAATAAATAGAACAAAAAAAATAAATTAAAATCAAATAAAATCAAAGTAAAGAAAGAGAGGGGTGGAATAAGGAAAACAAAAAGTCAAACAAAACAAAATGAGAGAATATATTTTTAAACGTTAACGAGATGAAGTTATAATATAACGTTCGGATATTTAATATCAGATTTTTTCTTTAATCTTTTTTATTATTACATTATCCCATCATTTTTTTTTTTTTTTCTCAACAGGATTGTATCGAGTAAATTACGACGAAGAAAATTGGAAATTTCTAATAAATCGATTCGATCTTTTACCGGATACGACAAAACATCAGATACTTAGTGACGCGTTTGCTATGTTCAACAAAGGATTACTCGATCAAACTTTGATCTGGAAATTTCTTCTTAAATTGAACGTTAATACAGATACAAATGTATGGTTGTTGGTGAAGGATGCCTTAGGGTATATCGAATATCGTCTTTGGGATTCTCACGTTTTTATGGTAAGAATTATATATTTTATTTTATTTTATTTGAATAATACAAAAAGTGTGTAAAACAAATATGAAATTATTAAGCTGAACGATAAAATTTCGTACGTTTTATAATTATTTATATTTTCAAGATAAATTGTTTATATAAACAAACCTCAAAAAATTCATAATACAGTTTATAACATAATTCAATTATTCGTAAGATAATAAAAGTACGAACTGATTTGTGTTTTATCCACACAATAATAAAACAAATTACGCGTAAATGTATATTTATCCTTGTCGTGTACAAAAAATACATTCGCACGCGTAATAAACGTCATATGTATGCGCGCGTGTGTGTGTTTTATTATAATCTTTTTTTTCTTTTTTTAAACAAACTTGCGAACAAAATTATTACACGCGATGTATAATTTTTTTCCTCATGCAAAAATGAACCAAAGGTAGAAAAAAAGCACACACACATACATATACACATGATATCAAAAATTGTTTTCATCGATTTAGAAAGTTACATTTTTCTCAAAAAAATAAAAGAAAAATATAAGATGTTCGCGTGCGTGCTCACGTGTATGTTTGCGTGTTTTGCGTATTTTACGTATTCGTATATTCGTGTGCATGTTTTCCAGTTTTATTATTAATTTATGCCGCTACTACCTAAACGATAAGATATGCAAGATAACCGATAACAGGCTTAAAGGCTTAAATCGTTTACCACGTTGTTCTCCGTTATGTCGCCCATTATGTGCAGTTAAGTCTTAAGTATAGCATCATAAAACAAGTGATTATCCCTTCGACAGGAATACAAGCGATCATAGCTTGCCGCCCGTCATTACGACTCGACGTTCAATTAGGCCTTGAAAGACTTAATCATTATTTGCACCAAAATACGAGTCTTCGGGAACGCTTAATTAACCACTTTGCTACGTAACACACAGCTTTCCTTTTCGGAGAAATTATCATTGAAAAGGGTCGAAAAACCATTTAAACTTCTTCTTCTTCTTCTTTTATTTTTATCTTTGTTGTTTTTTTTTTTTATTTTTTTTTAATTTCATTTTTCTTTTTATTATTTTCTTTTTACCTCCTTTACTTTACTTCGGTTTACTTTATTTTGATTTGTTTAACTTTGCTTTGCATTGGCTCATTTTATTCCGCTTGTTTTCTTTCTTTCTTTCTTTATTCTCATCCTCCTTCTCTCCCAATCCAAAGAACGAGAATTTATTTACATAAATCGAATCCTACTCGACTACTCGATTGTATAGGTACTACTACTACTACTAATACTACTACTAACTTCGTTCGTCCAAAGAAACAACACGAGGGAATCTTTTAAACTCCCCTTCGTTGCTTCTGGCTTCCTTTATTCATCTTATTCTTATTCTTATTCTTCTTTTTATCCTGACCTTAGTATTTTTATTAATTAGTGATATATATTTTGTAAGATAAATGGTTGTTACGTGTATTACATATATATATGTATGTATAATATTTTGTTCAGTAAGAATAATAATTAAGTGTCAGTATGTAATTGTATTTTGTCAGCTCGTAACGTTTCGCAGATATATTGTTAATTTGCTTTTATTATTTATACGATATTTTATTTATAAATATATTGGTAATTGGGAGGAGAAGGAAGAAGAGGAGGAAGGCTAATTTATTTTATGAAAAAAATCTTTCTTTCTCGTAACACACGTTCGTTCATTCGATAACGAAATTTTAGTTGTCAAGTATAATATACTTTTGACGATAGAAAATTAAGTTTGAAAATTATTACATTGTATTAAAGGGGGAACAAAATTTTTCTTTTTATGTGACCTTCCTTTCTTTCTTTCTTTCTTTCTTATTCTTTTTATTTTTATTCCTTTATCTGTCACAGTTCATGACGTGCAAATTAATCGACGAAGTTTATCAATCGAAAGTACAAAATTTGTTCGAGACCGATATGGAAACGTGGAATACTTTTCAAATCGAATTAACAAAATGGGCATGCTGGATCGGTCACAAAAGTTGTTTAAAATATCTTTACAATTTTGTGGATAAAATATTATTAAACGATACCACCATTACCGAGTACGTATTATACGATTGGGTGTCAATTGAAAATATTTTTTGTTTGTTTCAATCGTAAAATTATTGAAATAATAAATCATAATGATTATTATTTTTATGATCCCCCCTCCCCCTTCCCCTCCTCCACCATTCCCCTTCGAGAAGAAGCGAACAAGATCTTTCGTCGGAATTTCTAGTTTGGGTTTATTGCACGTATGCTAAATTTTCTTCGACGGAACAATGGTTCAAGTTATTGGCTAAATATCACGAACCAAAGGAAAACGATAAATTTAGCCTGGCATATGCTCTTGGTTGTACTCCAAATTCAACATTGATCGAATGGTATGATTGATGTGATTATTTTTAATGTTCCATTTGGTTGTACCAATAAATAATAAGAGAAATTTTATTTATATTCCAATCGAATTACTCTCCAACGAGAATATTTAATACGTAGTTCTCTTATATTTTTTTTAATACTACGAGGATGAGTTTGAAAAATTTTAAACCTTGATAAAAAGAAAAAGAAAAAAAAAAAACAGAAAAAAGGTTTTTATTCTTTATCGAAATATATTTGAAAATTTGTTAACGCATTATATTAAAATTATTCATTAAAAATGATATATAGAGAAATATATTTGAGAATACAATATTTCTAATTGTGAAAAAATAGAAATTAATTGATAGATGTTTTTTTTTAGGTATTTATCATCATTTTCAACGGAACATATTGAAGTAACGCTTATGGCTGTTGCGAGTAATCCAAATGCATTTGATTTAGCGATGGAATTTATGGAACGAGTAGAAAAATTCGATGAAATGAATGACATGTAAGTGATCATTGGATTAATTGTCGATATCCAAACTGAAATAAAATCAAACCTTAAAAAAGAGAGAGAGAGAGAGAGAGATGCAAAGAATAAAAAATCTACACTTATCCATTATTAAATAACAACACACGAAAAGAATAAATTTTCTTTAACGATCGTACGATATTTTTTTGTTTTGTTTAGCATCACAAATTATCCATTTTATGGTTTCTCGATAACCATGGACCAAGAGGAGAACATTAAATGGGTTTGTAGATATTAGATCGTTTAATCTTAATGACAACATTTTATCTGATTTAATAATGGTATCATTTAAATTAGTAGATGACCAAAAAAAAAGAAAAGAAAGAGAAAAAAAAGTATCACACGAGATACATACACACACACACACATACATGTACACACGTGGTCTAATTTAAATGGCTCACACGAGATACATATATATATATATACACACATACACATATATATATATACATATGTGGTCTAATTTAAATGGCACGCGAAACTTTCACGATAATTCACACACTGTAACCCGTTCGTTTTTCAGCTAACACGTTTCAAAGGTTCTCGTGGCAATAAGTACGATACACTAATCGAGATGATAATTAATGACGTCAAGTTCAACGTCGCATGGAACCGGAGGCACAAGAACGTGGTGAGAGAAAGAGATTGCTTTCGTTTTCTTCGTTTCCCCTTTTTTTTTTCTTCTTCTTCTTCCTCTTCTTCTTCTTCTACCTCTTATTTCATTTCTTTTATTTTATTTTATTTTATCTACTTTTTTTTCTCTTTTTTTTACTTTACTTCTCTTCTTCTTCTTCTTCTTCTTCTACCTCTTATTTCATTTCTTTTATTTTATTTGATTTTATTTTATCAACCTTTTTTTTCTTTTTTATTTTATTTCTCTTCTTCTTCTTCTTATTTTTCTTATTTCAGATCTACTAAACACGTTACCTTCGGCAACGTGGAATCTTCATTCATTTTCTCACCTTATTTCTATCCATCTTTATATCTCTTTCAATCTTTCTAATATTTAATCAAATATTCACATTATTAGAAAAATCGTTAGACTTAATTAATAATAATAAATACATAGATACAGTGACTCGTTAATGTATTTGAACACATTTTATATATGAAAAATACTTTATTTAATTATTATAAATATATACTTTTAAACAAATCAATATATATAATTTATTTTTTACAAAATTTAAAGATTACTCAAACCAGAAAACTACTTCAACAGATAACAACAAAATCTTTAACATTTACTGGAATCACTTTTGTCCAATCAATAGTATAAAATTGAATTAAAGTATGATTTTCTAGATATACTTTCAAACAAGTCAATATATATAATTTATTTTTTACAAAATTTAAAGATTACTTAAACCAGAAAACTACTTCAACAGATAACAACAAAATCTTTAACATTTACTGGAATCACTTTTGTCCAATCAATATTATAAAATTGAATTAATATATTATTTTCTAGATATACTTTCAAACAAATCAATATATATATAATTTATTTCTTACAAAATTTAAAGATTACCTTAACCAGAAAACTACTTCAACAGATAGCAACAAGTCTTTAACATTTACTGGAATCACTTTTGTCCAATCAATATTATAAAATTGAATTAATATATTATTTTCTAGATATACTTTCAAACAAATCAATATATATATAATTTATTTTTTACAAAATTTAAAGATTACCTTAACCAGAAAACTACTTCAACAGATAGCAACAAGTCTTTAACATTTACTGGAATCACTTTTGTCCAATCAATATTATAAAATTGAATTAATATATTATTTTCTAGATATACTTTCAAACAAATCAATATATATATAATTTATTTCTTACAAAATTTAAAGATTACTTAAACCAAAAAACTACTTCAACAGATAACAACAAAATCTTTAACATTTACTGGAATCACTTTTGTCCAATCAATATTTTAAAATTGAATTAATGTATGAGTTTCTAGATATACTTTCAAACAAGTCTCTCTTTAACATTTACTGGAATAACTTTTGTCCAATCAATATTATAAAATTGAATTTAAAGAATGATTTTCTAGATATACTTTCAAACAATTCAAAATATATATATATATATAATTTATTTCTTACAAAATTTAAAGAGAGATTACTTAAACCAGAAAATTATTTTAACAAATAACAAGTCTCACATTTATTAGGATCACTTTTGTCCAATTAATTATTTCTTTACGACATAAAAAAACTGTCTCTATCTATGTGTTCAAATACATTCTCGAGTAACTGTAAACGAAAATATTAAATTCTAACAATATTCATGTGTTTTATTCTCAAAAATATTAGACGAATGAACTACTGAGGATCATCTCGAACGGAATTAAAGAAAGCAAGGATTGTACGAGAAGATTTGACGAAGAAATATTATGATTATAGATTTAAATGGGAATTTTTTTCCTTTTCTCCTAAATCCCACCCATTCCCTTCTCCCCATCATACAAACAACCAAACAAAAACACATGATCTCGATCTTATATAATAATTGGAATACGATGTACCTATTGGAATTTTTTGTTCAGTATTAGAGGGTTGGGTGTGGACAAGGAGGGGTAAGGGGGGGAGTCCCTTCTCTCTTTCTCTTTCGAGAAGGAGAAGAAAACGTTGAGTCTAAGTAAGGGATTGATTCACGGCCAAGTTATAATACCGCCAAACCAAAACCCTAATAGATTCAGGTCAATGCCACTACCGTTCTTCGAAGTCGTTCATTATGTGGGAAGAGAGAAGGCCCCGTTCTCATGCCACACAGGTTGCAGTACCTGTGCGGCAGGCTCGAGGTTGGATTTGCCAAGAACTCGAAGATAGACCCTCTCTGTTCTTTTCCTCCTTGTCCTTCTCTCTTTCTCTCTTTCTCTCTTTCTTTTTCTTTTTCTTCCCCTCCCACCTTTGGGGGATCCTCTGATCATTCCCTCTCCTTCTCTTTTACCACTGAAAACCTATTCACGAAACCGTCGACGATAAAACCTTTCTTTCTTTCTTTCTCTCTCTCTCTCTCTCTCTCTCTCTCGTTAATTTTGCAAAGAGACTTAACGAATATCTCCTCGTCGATAAAAATCATTTGAATGTTATATTTTATTTTATTTTAATTTACTTAACTTCCTTTTGGTCTCCTTACTTACCTAAACTCCCACCCGACTCCACCTCACCTTTTTCTTTTGTAAATTATATTAGAAATAATCTATTTAAAGTATTATAAGAGTTAAGTTTTAGAAGAATTTGTCGTAATAATAATTAGACGCGTATTTTATTTTTTCTTATGTTAAGAAAAAGAAAAAGAGGTTACGTAAATCTACGTTAATAAAAATCGATGATGCGTATGATTATATATTATATATTTTAGGTGTCTCTTAAAAAAAGTGTAGTTAATCGAATTAATTAAAACGCATTCGATGATTATGTTAGAAAAATTGTTATATTATTATAAATAATAATAAAAGTACAAAAAAAGAATGTAGAATGACATATTATAAAAGAGTCTAATAACAGTTAATCGATGGTATTAGGAATTACATATATGAAATAAAGAATAAAAAAAACAAGAAGTTCATTTGGTGGGGGGGGGGAGGAGGAGGAGTAGAAGGAGGAGTAGGAGAATAGGATAGGATAAAGGAAAGAAATCGAGCAGATCAGAGTACGGAAAGATTTCTTAACGAAGGCAAAAGAGGAGGACCCTTTCCTGAACTTAATGATTCGGTCATTGCGATGGGTGGTAGAAGGGTGGTGGAAACGAATGGTGTGGGCCGGAGTTAGAGTAGGAGAAGTACTGGGGGAGGTAAGCGACAGGCAAGCAACAGCAGCACCAGCATCAGCATCAGCACCACCAGCAGCAACAGCAGCAGCACCAGCAACAGGATCGGCCCGGTCAGGAAAGTAAGCTTCGAACGGTTTTCGTTGTTTCATCAGTTGCATTTTTGTTTTCTTTTTTTTTTTTTTTATTTAAAACGTTCGGTTCGTATCTCCGAGTAGAGTTGTTTCGTTGTTGTTGTTGTTGTTGTTGTTGCTCTGCCGTTGTTGCCGTTGTGCCGATGTGATGCCGATCAGCATCACCACCATCAACCATCAGACCTGCTGTTGTTAGTTTGTTCTTGTTGTTGTTCATATTGTCAGTGATTATAAAAAAAAAAGAAAAGGGAATCTCCAAATTCTTGGTCTTCTTCTTCTTATTCTTCTTCTTGTGGACTGTGCGCGTGTATATGCACAACAACAACAACAACAACCATCTTTATTAAACTTCAACTGACAGCAAAAGAATCGTCGTCCCCTTTGGCAAAGTGGCTCAGATGATTCCACTCGGTAGGCCAACATCCAAACCTAACTCGACGGGGTCCAATAGCATCGAAGGCACCACCACTGGCTGCTGGCGCCCACCACCGACTACCACCACCCTTAAAAGTATGTATAGATCGTAAAAGGGGTTAAAGAGATACGTTACGAGATTATTCATTATTTTATTTTATTTTTTTTATTTTTAACAAATCACACCTCTTGTTATTTTATATGTATATGTAATCATACATGTATGTATATTACACGTGTGTATATTTTAATACGTTTTTGTTTCTTGTTTGTCTATTTTTTTTTCGTATCGTTTTTGAATGATTTTAATATTGGGGAGAGAAGGAAAGGGGTTGTTTCAATATGTTACAAATTTAATTGTACTATTTTGTTTTTGTTTTAAAATTCGTTTAAATATATATGTTATGTTAAAAAATTAAAGGATTTTAATTTTGGGGAAGGGAAGAAAATTGTTGCTTCCCCATATTACAAATTTAATTGTATTTCGTTTTGTTTGTTTTAAAATTCGTTTAAATATATATACATTATGTTAGAAATAAATATATGTTATGTTAGAAAATTAAAGGATTTTAATTTTGGGGAGGAAAGGGGAGTTGTTGCTTTCCAATGTTACAAATTTAATTGTATATTTTTTTGTTTGTTGTTTTAAAATTCGTTTAAATATATATATTATGTTAGAAATAAATATATGTTATGTTAGAAAATTAAAGGATTTTAATTTTGGGGAGGGAAGGGGAGTTGTGGCTTCCCCATGTTACAAATTTAATTGTATTTTGTTTTGTTTGTTGTTTTAAAATTCGTTTAAATATATATATACATATTATATTAGAAATAAATATATGTTATGTTAGAAAATTATAGGATTCTAATTTTAGGGAGGAAAGGGGAGTTGTTGCTTCCCCATGTTACAAATTTAATTGTATTATTTTCTTTTTGTTTGTTTTAAAATTCGTTTAAAATATATATTATATTAGAAATGTGGTTTTATAAAAATATACATTTCGAATATTCTCATTTAAAAAAGAAAAGTAGACAAAGAAATTGATTTTTATTTGTTCCTTTATTCTAACTCGCGAATATTTGATCAAGGACAACCTTTTTCTAGATAGTTTATATACAACATACGCACACTAACTTAGCATGTTCCCTCGAAAAAAAGATTTAGGATTTAACAGTCGATCGAACAGGACGAAAAGAGAGAAAAAGAGAAAGAGAAAGAGAAAGAGAAAGAGAACAAGAACGTTCCTCTCGAAGGTATATATCGCAGGGATTAGTTTAGTGAAATAAGTCGAACTGGCATTAAGGAAACAGGTATATGAGTCATCGTTTTCGATACAATATTCTTTACTATGTATAAAATAAGTCCCGAATTCATCGTACAGGATAAAAAGGGCAGACTGATTTCTAAAACAATCTCCTTGTTTTTTTTCTTTTCTTTTCTTTTTCCACTTTATCTTTTATTTTATTTTCTTTTTTTTTAATCCCATTTTCTTGAAATCAATCAAAACTTGTAAGTAAGTAATCCGTCCAAAGTTTAATTGATGTTAAATATCATTAATTACAAATCTTGATAGAAACCATGAGAAAGAAAGAGAGAGAGAGAGAGAAAGAGAAAGATACGGAAGTGTGACAAGGTTTTAAAGGATAGATAAGGATGATTGATCGGGAAAGAAGGGTTGGTGAGTGAGTGAGTGAGGGGGGAGGGCAAGGGGGAATCATTTTTATACATTTAAAAGTGCAGGAACTAGTCGGAAGTATAGTTTATTTGAAACATGTCTGATAGGACCGCTAATCCAGACAGATACGATCGAAAGACGGAAGGTGTAAAACGAATGGTTGCATGTGTCTTCTTGATCAACAGTTAGACGTATGTACATATTTATAAGATCTTTCTACACACACACACACACACATATATATTGAACTTTCTAATGTTTGACGCGTGCTTCTTGACATTAAAGTAAATGATCAAGAAAAAAAGAGTAATATAGAAATAAACCGAAAAATATAGAAAAATGAGAACAGGATTCTCTTGGAGAGTTGTAATTATTATAATTATGAAAAAAAGGAAGATAAAAATAACACACATACACATACATATACAACGAATTGATTTTCATTATTCTTTTAACGTTACACAATTGCGGAGTTAATTTCAAAATAAATGTCGACACGCGAAAAATTATATTCCCGATAACAATCTAATTTGTTTCCATCTCCCCCCTCCGCCTCCACCCACCACGATCCCGCCCCCTCCTGTTCTCACCTGCCCGCCCAATTCCTTTCGAGACGATCGAATTAAATTTAACACGCGAATTTTTACTCTCCTCCTCTCCCTCAAACTTTTTCTTATTTTTTTTTTAATCTTGTATTTTTTTACGACGTGTGGCAATGGCAAAACAATTCGATGTTTCGATTGCATTACTGCAATAGTCTCATATTTCCCCTTATACATTTCGCAGAATGCATACGAAATCTTAGATGGTTGTATTATTTAATCTCAAGGAGATATTTTTCAATACGCGATACGCGTAAGTTTTATTTATTCGTTTTTAAGGGAAAATTATTACATCGATTACATTTAACTGTTAATTACATTTACGTATATACCGGTGTAGAAAAAAGAAAAAAGAAAAAAAAAGGAAGAAATAAATGAAAGTTTATCGTTTAATAACTTCTTGACATTTTTCGATAATTATTTTACAAGAAGAAAATTTATTTAACTAAAGTATCTTTTATCTTATCAAAATTGACTGACAACGATAAACGAATAATCAACAACAAAAAAAAAAATAAAATGAAAATGATAAAATGAGTTTCCTTGAGAGACAGGATCGAAATAAAGGATAAGAAACAACAGAAGAAAAAAGATAAATAGGAGACGGAAGATTTAGTATATCTCCATCGGGTCAAACAGTATTATCCCCCTTCCCCCTGTACCCAATTCACGAGAATTCGATGGGGGTTTTCGAATAGAATGGTAATATTGTTTTGTACCTTGTTGCTCGACAAGGGTTAATATTAAATAAAAAAAGTGTTTCAAGAGATCAAATTAAATGGAATTGTTTCATTATTCGTGTAGATAAAACAAAAATTAGTAAATTATATATTTGATAAAATAATAAAATGTGTGAGACATGTGGGAGGGTTAAAAGGAGCGGGGGTTAGGGAAGAAGGAGAGGGAAGTTAAAAGTTCTTTGAAAATTCTGAATTAGAAATAAGGATAGCTAGATAGATAGATAGATAGATAGATAGATAGATAGATAGATATATGTAATATAAAAGAAAGAGTATAGTAAACGTTTTCCACATTCCTATTGCATTTACCAGGATGGCGCTTCGTCGAAGAAGAAGAGGCTTAGCAGCTTGTAAGCCGGTACCACCATAGCTTGGTGGGTACCTTCGATCGGCACTTAACTTGTTTAGGAATTCGTCTTTTTTACTTTCGAACGTCGGTGAAAGAAAACGACGTTCGTACGTTAAACGTAGATAGAAAGAGAAAGAGAAATAAAGAAAAAGAGAGAGAGAGAGAGAGAGAGGAATAGATAGATGGAAAGAAAGAAAGAAAGAAAGATGAAGAAGAAGATGAGAATGAGAGAGAAAGAGAGGGATAAAAATCCAAAGAAAAGAAGATTGTTCTTCTTCGATTTAGCAAAATACGATTTATGCGAACGATCCTGATCGAGATATACCCAACGTGGTCCCCATGAGTTCCCGTGGAGAACGAACGAAGTCTTCTTCTCGACTACTATACTCCTCCTCCTCCTCCTCCTCCTCCTTCTTATTCTTCATCCTTATCCTCATCCTCATTCTCATCCTTTTCCCCATCCTTTTCCATCCTTCTCCTTTGGAATTCCTATCGAGAGTCGGACGAATAAGAAGGTCGCGCCTGGTTTTTCGCCTTTTAACGTAAAACGTTAAAGATCGTAATATGATAGCAAGATAATTTTTCTTACTCTTTATCCTTTTCTTTTTTTTTTTTCTTTTTTTTCTTTATCGATCGGGTGGATAAAATTGGTAAAAGTTTGTGAATTCTTTGAGAATGATATATAGAACAATGGATATATTAATAGATAGAAAGATTAAAAAAATAAAGAGATATA